TATCAAGGATTTATAAGATAAGGATATGTAACTTTGATATCTATGTATGGTGATATGTGATATATCAAGAATTAATAAGATAAGGATATGCAATTTTGATATCGATGAATCGTGATATGTGATATATAAGATAAGGATATGCAACATAAGTATCCATGTAAGGGTATGGAAATACACAAAGATTTTATGTCATATGAATTCCGTGCACATCTTAATCAAAGTTGGTCTGACCAATCATTGAACACAATGAACATTTGGGAAGGTTCTATTACATAAACAGAAATTAGCAAGGTTTGGCCAAAAACATACTCTGTAGACAGAGACTCAAGAAAAAAAGAACAAAATCTTTTCTTTCAAAAGACTGACTAGCAAAATGCATTGAGTATGCATTCATCACATATCTGACTAGATGCATACCCTTAATATTATAAAACTTTGAGCACATACATTGTAAAATAAAGTGTGTTTAATACAGTCATTTTAAATTGCACACCATTGTTAATTGTTATTTATTCTTCACAGACTATCAATACAATATAAATTGTCAGAATTATAAATTATTTAAACAGTAAAACATTGTCCCGACTGGACTGAATACCTTCACCCATGCTTCACCTAACATGAATAAACAGGTGTCGGCCCAGAATAGAAAGTATTAATTCACATGAATAAAGACACATCTCATGTAAACAGAATTTAGTCGTATCCTAAAATAACCATATCACAAAACAATATATACATGTAAACTCGCAGCTCTAAACAGAATCTTATTTTGCATTTCATATCTAGGCTTCCCACTGTTAAAATTTACCATGAGTAATACATACAAAAATAACCTTTTCCTTTTTGGTAACTTTTGAAAGTGTGACATTTTGTTACACATAACATTTTCATTCATTTCCTCAGTGGTGAACCCAAAATCATGAAATGAACAAACTTGTAGTGTAATACAATACTCACTGGCTAATATTTGAGAATGGTTTGAATTATGAAGAAAATTATGATAATAAAATTAGCAAAACAGACAGCTTGATATAAATATTTGAATTTAAAACTTTAAAAAATTGAACATTAAAAGTGCTAGTAAAATTTTTAAACTTAATTAGAAGACACATTTTTACAACAAAAGTGACCGAGAAACAAAATTATAGCTCTGTTGTTATATTTGTAGAAAGAAGTATCGGTAAGTAGCTTACGCACTCTTTGCAATTGGGCTGGTAATTTTCCAAAACAGGTCAATAAAATAAAAATTTTACCAAAAATGACAAAAATATTCACTTTAATTAGAGGGCTGAAAGTATCGTCACTAAAAAATGACAAATCAGATGTAGGTTGAATAGACAGAGGTGCATATAGTATTGAAATGGTAATGATTACTATGACGAATAACTCCAAAGAAGTAATGCTCAGTACATGTATAATACATTCTATGTAACTGTGTTGCCTTTTACACTATAAGTCATTATAGGTATCCTGTATTACATCAAATTATATCATGTATATTATTTTAGTCATCTAGTTTGTAAAATAAGTTTGATTTTAGTTTTGCCTTTTTTATGTATATTTCTATAATTTTATTTTGATAATTTTAGACAACCAAATAAACATAATTTCCCATCGGCTCCAATTGTATGCCACACATCGACCTCGGCTGTGCGTCAGTGGCAAATTAGAATTGCAAATTTTGGAAAGGGTGGAATAAAGCATATTTTATCTTATATCTTTATCTAATTGCCACAAAAATAGGGCAAAGAGGCTGGTCATCACTTTCTGGTTAAAACAACAAAATGAGAAAAAATGCTCATAATTGCATTATCATTTCCTCAAACATTTTAGAACCAAAACTAAATCTTATTTCAAAGTGAATAATTCATAAAGTGTATAATATGAATTTAATCAAAGACAGCTTAGAAAGAACTCCCGTGTGCTGAGAGTTTTGGAGACACATTAAAAATTAATTCAAAATTACTTATACTTGAGATATTGATGGAATAGCTGAAAACTAATTATGCAAACAAGGTAACTAATATGAACAGATTTAAGTGTAAAACTAAAGGTCTGCACAATGTACCAAGTTTCATTGAAATGTGATTAGAACAAAAAAAAATAATTATATTTATATAATAATTATTAATTATTATGCTAATTAGAGAATTAATATGAACAGATTTTAACCTAAAATTAATCAGACTGTCTATTGTCCTAGAGCATTTATGTACCAAGTTTTATTCAAATGCGATGATCAATACTTGAGATATCAGTATTAATTAATTATGTTAATTAGGTGATTAAGAAGCATAAATATTTACCAAAAACTAATATGGTGCATGGTCTGAGGTTCATTGAAATGTGATGGGTACTCTTTAAAAGTTTCATTGAAATCCAATGAGTGGTTTTTAGACATCAGTGCAACAGCCATAGAACAGCAAAAAATTAACTAATTATGCAAATTAGGTAATTAATAGGCACAATTATTTATCCCAAAATTAATCAGGTCTCTGCATAGTCCTAGAAAAAATGTCGCAAGTCTCATGAA